CTTCGCTATAACTCACAGGACAGAAGTTAACAAAAAAGCTAAAAGAATATGCTTTTTTTAGTATATGACTCTTCTGCCTTTCCTTATCTTGCTCATTTTCAGCAAAATCGCCTTATAAAAACCGTCATCTAAGCAAATCTTTTCAATTTATCCGAGAAAGAAATCGGGAGGTACAAAAGTTGAGTAGACGATTGGTTTTGAACTTCTCAGCTCCAAAATTTGTCCCTAATTGACTAAACAATGCAAATTTGTACTCATCGGTCTCCTCTACAGTGATACCTGTTATAGGGACTCATCTGTGCTGTAAATATCAAATTTTTAAAACATCGAATTGATCTCACTGCGCTCTTTTTCGAAAACAGCTTTAAGTAGTAAAGAGTGTATTTGAAAGGAACAGTTTTGATAGTTTGGCCCCCAGAGAATTGGATAAGGATTAAGAAAATGAGAACAAAGTCGAAACAATTGGAAAAAAACTACTTGAATTGCGAAACCAACAAGCTATGACACTAATCTTCCGAGGATGGATACAATAAGGCCAATGCAGGGATACAATTGAGCATAATAAAGTGGATAGTGCTGAAATTACCAATGAAAGCGCGTACATGCTTAATAAAGATCCAAGCGAGAAGTTGATAACAACGATAGCGTATAGTGCTCTGGCACAAATTATTGTTATCATTTTTTTTTATCAAACCTTTTGTAAGCCTGCTGTAGTTTTGCCCACATAGAAATAAGGAAAAACAGCGTAAAAAACAGAATAAAAAAGAATAAAATTAAAAATAAATAAATTTCATAAGGGTACCAATCCCTGAGAATAAACGCATAACTTCTATTCATAATCCAAAACAAATATTATTACCTGTTACTAGACAAAGGCGATAAAATGAATGACATAACAAAATATGGCTTTAAATATTTAGATTAATCCGACGCTAATATATTGTCGGTAACACAGTAACAACAACAATTTCCAAACTGATGACTCGGATGTATTCTCTCAATAAATTTACTTTTTCTTTTCTTCACTGGTTTTTCACCCTGCCGGAACAACCACAGTAATGAGTAGAGGAAACGTCAAAGAGATAATGTTAAGTTGAATATTATTCTTCTACTTCTTTTTTTTTACAAGTGTTTTTAAGAAATATTTAACAATTTCAACATCAACAATTAATACCTGTAAATTTCCTTCCAGCATTCTCCCAGAATCTACAGAGGAATAAATAAAATACGTAACATTAAGAAAAATGGTCTTTTTCCTGATCTTATCGATGGAATAACATACTGAAGAAAAGAAAAAAGTTTTTCTACCAACTTCCGTTACTGCATTTTTTCTTTTTCTTCTCCTTCTTCCACTCCTTTTTCAAAACATTCAAATGTAATGAAGAAACAAAGGACAAGAGCGTACGGGAAAAACGACAGAAAAAAGAAAAAAAAAAAAGACAATGAGAAAAGCCTGTATTATTTATGCAGGAGACAACCTGTATCTGTATAATACATATATATACTTCAACCATAACTTAATCAGCAACGAATCAGATTTTGAAATCAAAACAAAAAAATTATTGTTTCAAGAACTGCTTCGCAAATTACAGCTTAATATATAGCCGCTTAAATTGCAGCTTAAAAGCGTTGGAACGGGCCGGTAGTTGAATGGCCGCTGTTGCAAGGGGCCGCATGGCCAAAGCTTTGTGATGAGGAGGCCAGATGGGGGTGCGGGGGGGAAAAAAGGAGAGGGGGACTTGGAGCCGGCCAAGGCGAAGCGGTTACTGAATGAAAATCATCGATGTTTGCTGAG